TAAACCGCGGCTTTAAGACTACATCTACCAGGTAGAAGTACCGAAATTTCTAAAAAGCTGCTTTTTCAAGCAAATCAAGCTTATTTTCTTGCATAAATAATGTTTGATAAGAATCATGTTTCAACTGGCAGAAAATCCGAAAGCTTTCGTGTCTTAGCTGCAGTTGCTTGTTTCATGACTTCGTCAAAAAATCGAGACCTCCGATGAAATAATTTTTCAAAGCTGTAAACGGCAGATTAGAGAAATCTAAAAAATACTTTGTAGTCCGAGAATTGGTTTATCTATTCTTACTTAAGCTTTCGGGAAACTTTTGAACGAAACTTTTAAAAAATTAGCCTAACTCTGAGCAGAAAAAATTGACGGGTGGAGAATTTTGGCAATAATCAAAAGAAGCATACAAGATTTGGGTTCGTCATATCCATAAGAAAGAGAAGGAAAAGCTGCATCGGCATGTTGAAACTCATTCAGGTCTTTATTGCGCGTGGTTTTATAGTGGTTTGAAAAAACGGACAAAACTTTCAGAACAACCTAATATATGAGAGCGAATGGAGAGCAATGAATCAGCTCAAAAAGTTTCATATCTGCGATGGCCAGTAAATCGGCCTAGATTGCTGCGTATTAGCCATCGTACTGACAGCAGTCAAACGGCTCCAAACTTCGTTGCAAAAATCTGTGAAAATGTTTAAAGGGAAGCCATTAGATCTTTGTCTACTATTGCATGTATTTGGCTGCACAAAGTTCTTGTGATTTGGTGCGGCTCCTCGGTTGGCTACAAAAAAGTGACGAACGCAAATTACTGTCGACAGATGAGGCACAATACCATAAGAACCAGGGTTTCGGGTGCAAAATATTGCTTTGGAAGTGTGGTTAGTATGTTAGAAAGCCGTTGCGAGGAGGATGCGGAAGTTGATGAATCTTTAAAGACGCAGTCATAGCTTCAGTCAGAGTATTTTGTGCGCAGGAGTTGTGCACAGTTTATTCGTATAGTTTTAGATTTCGCTCCTTCTATATCCGATAATATCAAGTCTTAGGGTAATTGTAACAACAACTGGACTTCTTCAGTGGTCGGGTTAAGCTATGATTCCCAAGGCACTTATGTGACAAAATTTCTCTGCTAAACGTAGAAGGATGATGTGGTTTAAGCTTGCTACGCTCTTACGGAAGTTAAATCATGAAGTTGAAGGATGTTACAAGTTGATTTTTGAAGATTTGAAGGCGTACTTAATTTATGGGTACGAGCTCGCAGCTATAGTAGTCAGACTTCAAGCGCCTTCGTTATCAATAAAAACTGAATTGATCTCATTCCACTCTAACTTTGATTGGCTTTTGCTCACTTTGACAACATTTCACCACCTTTCAAAATGCAAAAACCCACTGTATGCAAAGTGACCTGCTATCCAGCCAAGCACCATTGAAGAACAGAATACAGCACCAGTCTAAAATACGTACTTTTTACCCATTATTCACATTGCATTTCTGCTTATGAGTTCTGAGAGGACTAACGAAATGAAAATACGCCGTAGATGAAATCAAAAGAAGTTGAAAGATATCGAAAATCCCGTTGAAAAACATAAGCTTGTAGCATGAATTTTTCAACATTTTTCCACGATACATTCCGTACAAGCATAGCACATAGAGGATCTGCAAGATTATTTGATTGACTGCATACAGAATTCTACTGCGAAACGCATGAGTGTGTGCCAAAAGTTTCAAAATAACTGTAAATTTTCAACTTACCGTGAGCGGTGTTCCTACGGCAAGAAAGTAACATCCCTGTATCGTGTTGACCGAGCCGCTGTTTTGCCATTTGGCGTGAGTCCTTGAGCTGCAGTTATAATCTTCTTCATCAATGTTCCAAGGAAGATGGATGTAAAACAAGTACATATTTCGAAGGCTTTGAAGCTTGAACTGCAAATCGTATCTAGAGGTTTCCTTATCAAATAAAACTGAAAAAATGATTAAGCATGAAAACTCACACGAAAATGAATAAGTTAAAAACAAGCCGTTGAGTGTTTGCAAATGATTGGTCTAGACATATACAAAAACACTACAATTAGAATAAACAAAAACAATCGGAAGTAGGGTATCATAAGCAATTAGGCGCAAACAGGAAGATCTTTATATAACCCCGACGACGTCAGCGACATCGCAACAGAGTATAGGTATGGAACCCATACGTCGTTTACATTCTAACGTTCGCAATTACTATTTTTGCAGGTTTCTGGAAGATAATTGGAGCCGTCTGTAGTAGTTTACCCCGGGTGTATGTCAAGAGGCGCGATTTTTATTGCCAGATGGACACCATTTAGCGCTTTTTTAGTATCTAATGACGTTATAAAAAACTTCTTGTTTCTGATGAGATGTGCAAGATCGTTGTCAGGGCTATTCAACCTTATATCTCAAAATAGATGCAAAACATGAATATTGGAGGTCAAAAACCCGCGAAAGTGCAGCTAATCGCATTCCGAACGTATTACGACCAATTTTCACCGAAAGCCGTCAAGCTTGGCAAATGGTTTCTTCAGATAGTTAGTTAAGCTAGAGCACCTTGTCTGGTATTTTTAAAACTTCCATAGCTTTAAATTGGGCTCTTGTATTGGTGACCTCTAGAGAAATCTCGCCTCTTGACCGTCTCCCGTTTACCCCAACATTTTTTGTAGTAGCAGAACCAAAGATTCGTTTCTGGTAGCCAATATATTTCATAAGCATATCATAGTTAGCTCAGTGATTGGAAAAGCAAATAACAACCTGACAAATTACATGAGAAGAAAGAGCGAGTAAATAATTGCCAGGCAGTGTCCCTGCAGATTCGCGCCTTGGGAATATTGCTGTAGTGGGGTTGCTGGTCACGTCACTAAGCTCCAGTCCCAGTACGGCCAGTTGATGTTCCCCCTGCGCCGAGAAAATGACGCTCCAACCACGGCGCGCGCTCGGAAGACTTCGCTTAACTGTTCGGCGCGGGACCCCACTGCCGCTCTCCGCATTGTGCATGCTATCCAAAGCGAAAATTACAGGCGGCAGGGTTTCATACCAGGACCTCCCAACTTTCCACTAAAACTCTCGTCCGAGCTGTATTTTGGAAATTGGGTAAAGGCCTTCCTCCAAAGCGGTTTTTTCACCCGGCTCAAAGCTGAAATTTGGGTTCTACGTGCCGAAAAGGCGTAAAACATGCAAAAAGGTAGAAGTGCAAAATCTGCTGGGACACTGCCTTCAACGCGTCTTAACAATTCACAGCATCTACCTATTATTCGCAGTAGTGGACATCATCTCTTCTTCTAAAAATATATTCACGCCGTATCAGCTTTGCATCTAATCAACCCACCCAATGCGGAAATATGACTAAATCATCGATAACCACAAGTGCTTCATTCATTAATTGCTGCTCAGCACATTGCGCATTTGTTTAATGGCGCTGAGCTTTTGCTTTGATTGCACTGATCTTTAGCGTCATTTTCAGGCTGCTTGCTTTCTAGACTCTTTTTTTTCTTCCATCAATCGTTGTGACGAGATACTGTTACATTGCAGGTTGGAACGTCATTATACAGGGTGTGCTAAAAAATGTGAACACTGTTTGATCGTTCATAACTCCGTTGCTTTCATGTCTTTCGCCGAGCTTGAGGCACCCTTCTGTAGAGCGAGGTTCCACTTAGATTTACAGTATGGAGTATGGA